TCTGTGAGCTGTTTTTAAGACTAGTGTAGCAACAGAGGGTTTATGGTCCTGTTCCATTCGTGGAGCTTCCCACAGAAGAAACCAGTGACTAGAACCACACAGAGAAAGAGAAAGACATGGTATTTTACTGTAAAGATTTGTCAGTTGAAGATTTTCCCAATTTCAGGGCCCAGTGCATCTTTGTGCATATTCTTCAGGACTCCTCTGCATCTCCAAAGTCTCCTGGTTATGCTGCCTTCCATGGATTCCTTTCTCTGTTTTCCCTGTGGGTGTGGGTGGCAAGGTTCCTCCAGCTGCCTTTAGTGATATGATGACCTCTGCAGACAGAGGGGCTGGTCAGCACTTTGGGGCTTTGTCTTTTCCCACCAACACAGGAGTATACTGCTCTGCTCTCAAGGGAAAGCCAGCAATCTTTAACAAAAGCCCATTGTCACTGCACCTCAGATTTGGTAGGTCAGAATTGACTTACTCTTCCATTTGATGTTACAGGGTTTCATGGCTGCTTGGCTCTGGGTCTGCCCATCAGATCTGTTTAGAATATAGCAAGCCCTTCCATTTCTGACAACTTCCTCCCCTTTGTTCTCTTTTTCTGACTTCACAATTTCTAATAGGAAACTTGGACATCTGAGATATCCCTTCACATTGTAACACTCTTAGGCCTTTCCTTTGCTCCTCTTCTGTGGGTTCTAGTCTTCTTTGATACAGTCTCCACACCTGGCCTTTGGTCTGCCCATTTTACCACATGACACCATTCCTGCATCTTAAGATGTGACCACTACATTCATTTTAAGCCTCTCTTGTCTTCTGGTTTTGTGTGAAAGCTAAATTGTTTTCTTGTGTTTTTTTTTTTTTTTATCATGATGGAATTTAAGATTATTAGGATTCCTTTATTCTTCCCTGAATTATTTCTGTCCTCTTCAGCCTTCTCTATTCTGTCCTGGCTTTCTGTAGACACCTGGTGATCCCATCTGCCAGGGCAATTTGTTACATGGGAGTGAAGCTGGAGATATACAGCCAGAGGGCAATAACTGGTCAGTGTGGAGGAAGTGGTCAGAATACAGTAAATGGTAGGGGTGTTATAATTTGTCAGCACATGATAAATGGTCAGCATGCAATACCTGATTAGTGCCCATAAAGGGCTAGAACTGGACAGTGTACAGCAATGATCAGGATGTAGAATTTGTCAGTGCACAGTGAGGGCTCAGTATGAAGTGACTGCTCAGGGACTGCCTGTGTTCTCTGTAAATAGAGTGTGTGTACAGAGAGGCCTTTTTGAAAGTGGGCATGGAGCCTAGGGGGCAAGCTGCCTTCTCTAGAATTGACTGGTCTGGTGAACTTGACATTCAGGTTACTGTGGTGCCCAAGCATTTGGGCTGTGTTGCATAGAGGTCCTCCCTCCATTCCACTCCACTCCACACCAGTTATGTTACACAGCCCTGATTTCCTCACAAGGGCAGAAGTCATGGGCATAATTGGCTAACTGCTGAAGTCTGTGGAACATATCTTAGACTAACATAAACACACACAAGCATACTCAGAAAACCAATTATATTAAATGCAGTTATCAAATGTAAAAGAAAAAAAACCCATTTTGATACAAGGGTATGTTTGCATCCTTATTAAAGCATTACATAAAAAGCCTAGCTGTAGAATGACTGTAATTTGAAATAATGGTGAACATAAGCAATGTTCTATGATAGCCATAGATCTATACCTTGATTTGAAAATACCTGTGATTTTTGTTGGCGACAAAGTCACAGTTACAGCTAAACAATTGTGTTTACTGCCCACAGGCCTAATTGAAGGCAATGTTCATTTTTGCTTAGGGACATGTAAAATAAAATGCCCCTCCCCCACACCTGAGTTCCTGTACTTCAAGCACATGGCATATGGGGACTTTCCCCTCTTTGGACAGCACAACATAGCTTATTCAGCTAACAACTATCCTAGCAGGAGCAGTTACTGGGGTAGAGCCTCACCCATATGAATCTTTGGTGATACAGCTCTTTGACTTAGTACCCTTCCATCAGCCAGCTGGATGGACCCCTTGAGTGGTGCCAACTGTTTGGCATCTCAGGTACTGTAGCTAGAAGAAAAGGCATCCCCCATGGCCCCTCTCATCTGCTCTGTTCTCAGCACTAGGATTCCTCTGACGTGGCAGCTCTTAATTTTTCAAGTGTCTTTCCCTTTGTGTCCACTGCCCTGGTCTGGTGTCCCCTCCAGAGGCCTGTGGTGGTTTCTTCTGTTCATTTGCTGTCTTAAGTTGAATGTTCAGTGGGCTCCCCTGTGTGCACAGTGCACCTGCTCCTCTGTGTACCAGGCACAGGCTCTCTGCTTCTCACCTGTGGTTTCTCTGAAGGGAAGCAGTAGTACCAGCCCAGTGGGAGAACTTGGCCCCTGGGAGAGGATGCTTCGGATCCTTAAAATTGAGACACATATACTCTATCCAGTGGACATGAAGAATTAATTGGTGGGCCAGGCATCTCTTTAGGAACTTTCTTTTCCTCTTATAAATTCCATTTATAGAAAGACCGTTCAAGTGATTAGTTCTTTCTCAATAGTGACTACTTGTCAGGATTTCAAATAATGTCTACCTGACTGGGGAGAGAGCAAATGTCAGGGGTGGTCCTTCTCTCCTGTTTGCAGTCTCTTTGGGGCCAAGTCCGTGTGTGTGATGAGCATACACCAGAATGTGAGCCTTCTGCAATGGAGTGCTCTGTTCCAGGTGAGGTTTGTAGGCCAGCGACCTTGGTGGAGGTCAGACTTCCTAAGCTGGACAAGGCAGGGTCCTAAGGCTGCTGTGTGTATGGCTTTGCTGGAAGATGTGTAGGAGAACATACATGTGTGGGGTGGGACAGTTATTTGATGGAGGGGTTCCAGGGAACTGCACAAGAGATTGCCCAGTCCCTTCCAAGGCAGATCCTGAAGCATTTAGTTGCTTGGCTGGTGCAAGGCTGGGCCACCTCTTCAGGTTAGGGTGTGGGGGGGTGAACCCTGACTAACTCCTGTCTCTCCTAGCTGTTTTCTAGGGTGGGAGAGGGATGCTGGTAGCCAGAGACAAATTGCTTCTCAACAGCTCCTTCTCTGCCCAGGTGTGGACATAGTAGAGTCTGGTCAGGAAGACAGCATCAAGTTTGCTACTACAGACCTCAATTTCCCCAAGTTCACCCTAATAAGTTTGATCTAACTGACCTCTAAGAGCCCTTCAAAACTGGCCTCTTTTCTTGCATGTTACCTACACATTTGTGCGAGAGAGAGAGAGAGAGAGAGAGAGAGAGAGAGAGAGAGAGAGAGAGAGAGAGAGAGAGACTGACTTTTATGTGAAGCAGGTGAACCCCAGACTTCAGCCAAATCCTACCTCTGAACAACGACACATAGACCAAGCACAGGTCCCTGGTTACTATCCAAAGCTCGGAACTGGGCATTTTAAATTCGATTCCGATAAAAGCACTTTCAGGCCTACCGTGCTGGTCCTGGTACTGTTAGCATGGAGAGACCCTCTAAAAAGGACAGCACTGCCTCCCACTCTGGGCCTCCAGACACAAATGCCAACTCTTTCTTGTGGAAGAATGGAGTCGGCGGCAGGGAATTGCCTGCTGTCTTCTTCTGGGGCAGACTGTGGGCATCCACTGTGCCTGTGCTATTGAGTGTCCCGCAGCTGGCTGGAGGCGGGCACACAGGAGGTCCAGGATGCAATGTGATGGTGGGGAAGGGTGGGCTGTTTTCAAACCCCTCGGAACCGCCTACCGGAGAGCAACCTCCTCTAAATCTATCTAGTTGCCCATCAGCTCTCAGGTCCTTCATTCTGTTTCTACATTCTTCCAAAGACCTGGGGTAGGAACTGGTTGGGGGCTGGGCTCGCTTTCCCGACTCAAGCGAGCCAACCCTGCCGCTCTGCAGTGAGGCCCCGGAGCACCTAGGTGGAGCCCGACCCGCAGTTTTCAGCTGGACCAGCCCCACCTGACCCTCCGGCACGCCAGACGGGGGCGCTGCAGGGCGGCCGGGTCCCCGGGGTCCCCTCCGCGGCCCAGTGCGCATCGGCAGCTCGGCGGCCCGGGCGCTGCACAGACGGCGGCAGGCGCGGGCCAGAGTCCGAGGCAGCGCGGCCTGGCCGCCTGGGCCGACAGAGAACCACACCGCGCTCCCGTTCCCGCCGCAGCTCGCAAAGACGCCGAGCCGAGTGGCGGGCGCGCGCCACCAGCACCGGAGCAGCGGCGTCCCGCGGGCGGCGAGGCGCGCAGCGTCTCCGGCCCCACCTGTCGGCGCGGCCACCCTCAGCGTCGCCCCTGGCGTCCCCAGCCAGCGCGGGCGGCTCGCGACAGCTCTGAGCCCGGCCTCTTCCCGGCTGCTGCGGCGGAGGCGCGCTCTCCCGGCTGGGCGCGGAGGCCGGCACCGTCCCGGGCGAGGGGACCGGCCCAGTGGCTCCCGAGCCGTGCAAGTTGGACTGCAGCGGACTCGGCCCGGCCGCGCGGGCCCCAGCGGCGGCGATGGTGCTGCAGTTTCGCGAGCTGTGCGCAGCCCCGGCCCTGAGGCTGGCCCTGCGCGGCGGTGGCAGCGGCGGCGGAGCGGCCCCCTAAGACCCCCGCCGGTGCAAGAGCGGGCAGCGGCGGCGGCGGAGCCTGAGAAGGCAGCGGCGGTAAAGCAGCGGAGGAAGGCGACGCGGATCTCTGGCGTGGGGCGACAGGAGACCAGCGCCGGGGCCGCGCCGGACCCCCGAGCACGCCGGGCCGTTGCGCAATCCGCGGCCGGTCTGGGCCCTGCTGGCGGCGCGGCTCCGGGGGCGGCGGCGGGGCTGATTCATGGGGCCGCGGCGGCCAGTCCTCCGCGCCCGGGCCCCCGGCGCCCTGCAGCGCGCGATGGTGGCCGAGTGGCCGGAGCGGCGGCCGCCGCGGCCCGAGACTTTCTGCTAACCTCCCCGCCCCCGCCCGTCCCCTCCCCGGCGCCCTCCCTCGCGCCGTCCCCTCCCCCTGCCCAAAAGACACAGATCGCCTCCCGGAGTGGCGCCTCCAGTCGCGGTGGAGCGCGGCGTTGGCGGCGGATGGAGGGCGCGATCGGGCGGCCGCCGAGGCTGCACCCAGCGGGGCGCTGATGCGGCGCCTGGACCTTAGCTGCGCGACTTCGGGGGCGTCGGCCGAGTTGGCACTCCGCGATGCAGCTCCTGAAGGCGCTCTGGGCACTCGCTGGGGCCGCGCTCTGCTGCTTCCTGGTCCTAGTGATTCACGCGCAGTTCCTCAAAGAAGGTAATTGTCCCTGGTGCTCGGTTCCCCGCACTGCTCGCGGCGGTCCCTGCGCGTAATACTGCTTCAGTACCTTCCACCACTGCCAGCTTGGTGGGCCGAGGCTCTGCGGGGCCGGAGTGGCCAGTGGTGCGAGCCTTCCAGGAGCCCAGCATTGGATCTACCACCCTTCGGAGCATTGGGACTCAGGGGTGGAGCGGGTTAGGCTCGAGTTCAGGCGTGCTTAGGGCCTGGCGAGCTCCAATGTAGCCCCGGAGCCCGGGCTTATGCCCAGGCTGCAGTTGCCATCCTCTGCCCCGCAAAGCTCGGTGGCAGTTGCGCCTACCCGCATGCCATCGACCCTCGGTAGGTGGCACCAGCGCTCCACTTTGGTAGCCTGGTTGAAGCCAGTGCTGAGCAGGCCAGTACTGAATGGATTGGGGGGCTGGGGAAGCAAAGGTATCAAGGGGTGAGGACTACAAAACTGAGCCCATGTCCCATGCTACTTTCTGTGCCGAGTCGTGTACCCACCAGACTCGGGTTAGGTGGGCAGAATTTTTCTTCATCAGAATGCCCTAGGCCCGCTCAAGTTCTGGTTCCTTTGCCCTCCTGGTCCCCTCTAGATTGTCGGGTTGTCCCATCCAGTTCACGAGATACTATTGAGACTTGTGTAATATAATACATTGGATTCTTGTGGTCATGGGTGTCCATTTGGTAATCCTATCTGGGCTTAGTTGGTGTGCACTGTCAGGCAGCAAATGGTGGGGACTCTGTTGGAAACTCCTGCCCTTTGCTAGCTCCTCTTAGTCTTGGTGCCTTTGGGCTCAGCCTGCTCCCGTTGTTATTGGTGCCCTTGTCTGAAGGCCATGCCTGCACTGGCTAGCATTCCCCCCTAGGTTGCCAGGGAGCACAGCCCTGCAAAGTGCTGGTGCCGATTCCTACAACTGTTTCACTAGTTCAGGTTCCTAAGGAGGAAGGGCTTACAACATTCTGCAGCTTCCCTGCACAATTAGTGAGCCCTGGACACTGGGAGCCATCTGTGTCCTGGGAGCACTTATGGCCTGCTACACATTGTTCCCCCTTGATTTCAGGTGCTACTTTGGAGAAACTAACTGGGCTTTGCTGCAGGCAGATGAGCCTGCTCAGCTGGAGCTCTCAGGCCATTCTTGGAGTTGGAGACTGGTCTTTCCTCAAGCTTAGGTGACTTGCTTCATGAGTGGGTGGTTCTGCCACTTGCTGGGGTCCCCTGCTATTGAGATAACTCTTTCCTGCAAATATGAGTCATTTCCTTCAGGCACCCCCTCCCTGCCCGCCCCCAAGATGTCTTCACCTGGTATCCTCTGCCAGGCAGCTGTGAAGAGGAGTGGAGACCACCACATGGTACACCCCAGACCATGGGGTCCTTATAGTTTGGGTCCTTGTTTGGGCCACATGTTCTCTACCAAAGGTTTCAACTGATTCTATGTTGCTTGGGGTGTTCATCTGAGGGAAGAGCATGGATGTTAGAGTTCCATGGCTCCTTTGAGTTGATCTAGCCTGCTTGAGTTACTGTGTTGTAGTGACTTTCTGCTTACTACAAAGAGATCCTGATCATTTGGAGACATGTGACTCCGTGGATGGGTCTGCTCTGTCTTGCCTGGTGGGAATAAACTAGTTATGGAGTCTTCTAAGCTATTGGAGTCTGTCTTTTGGTCAAGAGGGAAATCCCTGTGTACCTGGTGGCCAGGTGCGAGGTCACACAGGCAGTATACATTGGCACCTGTGTTGTGCAGTGGAGGGGGACATCCCATGAGGGTGGATTTGCAGCACAGCCTTTTATAGGAGCCTGGGCACTTGGTGTGGATAAATATGTGCACGTGTGACAGATGGTAGGATAAAAGAGGAGGTAGTATACGCTGACCATGGGTCATAGGACCTAAAGGCAGTGTCTTAGAAGCTGCTCTTGAGGATAAGTCCATGTGTTCACCTTGCCCTATGGGGATTTGTGACCCCCCCACCCGTTGTTCACCCTGAGTTGTTTGCTTCTATGACCCTGGATCTCAGTGCCCTTTCCTATTTCCTTCTGTCACAAAGGTCAGAGCTGGCATTCTTGCCCTTGTTTTCTTTTTGAGGATTTTTTTTTTATTTTTAAATTTTTTGTCTCTGGCAACAGAAGCCGGAGCATCAGGATAGGCCTTAGGGTGTGCTGTGAGAGACTGGAGACTGGTTCCCAGGGGAGGCACAGGGTCCTTCTGGGAGTATTGGACTGCAGACTAAAATCCGTTAAGAGAGAGGGAGCTAGGCAGCTTGGACAATTGTTACTTGTTGCCTGGGGATGGAGTGGGAAAGAACTGTATAAATAGCCATTTCCCTGAATCTGGGTCCCCTCCTCCCCCAGGGGTGAAGAATAAGGGGCCCAGAATGAGGTGCCCAGGGAACCGTTTTTTCCACACTTTACTTTTTGTGTGGCTAATCCATCCCACTCCAGTTGGCCTGTCTTGCAGCGATTGCACAGATGAATTAGGGCTGTGAACCCAGGGAGAGGAGAATTGTGCTCCTAATTGCAGCCCTAGTTTGTCCAGTTTCTGTAAGAACAGGTCTTGCCCATTGTGCTTACTCAGTGGAGGCAGCCAAAGGGCTGGGGAGCAGTGAGTGTAGCTAAAGCATGGGTTCAGGCATCAGTAGGGTGCCGGAACTACCATACTGAAGTATCATCAGCCCTGCTTGTTCATGCAGGGTTTGTGCAGACTCTGGTTTCCCTGAGCTAGAACAGGTCAGGGCAAGGGTGATGTGTTAGGAACCCTGCTTGGATCCAGCTGCCTCATAGGAGCAGAACAGGGCGTGGGATGGAAGGAGAAGGGAACAGGAGGGTATACCCACAGTTCTTATTTATGTGGGAATCAGGACATAGAGTTAGGGTGACAGCTGGGATTATAAACATTCTTGAAATCTTAGAAGCACCTAGGCTAGGGCACAATGGCACAAGTTCTGGTTTGCATACTTATCAGTATAGGAAAACAGCAGCAGTCCAGAATGACCCATGGATTTTTGGTCTTTGGGGTCCAAAAAAGACAGGACTACGATTTAACCCACAAGCCATTTTGTCTGGAGGAGAAATCCCTGTGTGTCTCCATTAGCTGTGGATTTGAGGTTTAGCTATCTGTCCTTGTAAATCCTTTTGATGGCTGGGCAAGTGTTGCATTAAATGAGCAGGCTATTAAAAAACCTTTCTCGGGTTAATATTGAGAGCTTGTGGGTGAGCTGAGTGCCTGTCCCCAGCACAATGTCCCAGCATCTTAATTCCCAGGAACTTGGAGCCGCCCCACCCAGTGTTATCTTCCTCAGCAGCTCTGAGGGTTGACTGTTGATTGAGCAAATAGAATCCAACTTTAATTTATTTATTTAGCTCACTACTTTGGAAGTCAAGCACATTCTGTGCGTCTGTGTGGCGTGGCCAGACTGAAAAGGCCACACTTAAAATCCTGTGCAGGCATGCATTGGTACTAGGTGATATCTCAGTAGTAGATCACTAATTAGTACCATCAATGCAAACCCTACAGCCATCTCAGGACACTCATTCATCTGTAACACAGATCGGTTTATTTACTTTTATTTTTAGGACTTTCTCTCTCTTTCTCTCTCTCTCTCTCTCTGTGTGTGTGTGTTTGTGTGTGTATGTGTATGTGTTTATGCTCATATGTGTATGAGTGTGGTGTGGGGTACCTGTGCATGTAGATTCCAGAGGTCAAACTTGGGCATCTATTACATTTTGCTTTTCTTGAGATAGAGGAGATAAGAATATCTCACTGACAACCAAGGCTGATTGGCCAATGAGCCCTAGGGACCCACCTGTCTACCTCTCCACCAGTGGGTTTACAGGGCACAATACTAAGCCCAGGTTTGAAATTGATTTATTTGTTTGTTTATTTATTTCATGGTTTCTGAGGATGAAACTCAGGCTCTCAAGCTCACAAAGCAAGCACTTTACCAATTACCCTATCTTCTCAGTTGTGGACCATCTTTTTTTTTTTTAAAAAAAAATTGACAAACAATTTGAACAACATAACACAGTTACTAACACTAAGAAGTCCTTTAAAAAAAAATATTCATTGAGCAGTTAAGAGCACTGGCTGCTCTTGCAGGGAACCTAAGACCTGTAACTACACAATTCCAAAGGATTAGATGCCCTCTTTTGACCTCCATGGGGGCCAGACACATAACACATAGCAAACAGACATAAATTCAGGCATAATGTCTATACAGTAAAAAAAATAATAAAGATATATTTTAAAAACCATTGAGTTTAAAACTTATATCATTGATATTACAAATACTTGTTTCCCTGGTCAGGCTATGGCAATGGGTGGGGACTGGTGGGGCCCACTGGTGTCACATAGGGAGCTGAGGCTGTTCAGAATAACCTTGCAATTCTTGGTAGAGGCTAAGCTGTGCTTGGCACTTGCATTGATCCTATGATGTACTGAAGGGATGAAGCCTGAATGTTTAAGGAAGGATTTTGTTTGTTTGTTTGTTTGTTTGTTTGTTTTGCTTCAGACTTGTGTCCTAAGTTCCCACAGCTGGGGTGGATCTCATACCCTCTCCTTCATGGCTCAGAGCTGCATGCAGAGGACCTCAGCTTTGCCTTAGGGACCTCAGGGCTTCCCAGTGCTGTCTTCTCGGTCCTTCTTAGGATGTAGAGCTCTGCAAGGTTTGCAATAGGACAGGGCTTGTACCTTCCCAGTGTCCAAAGTCTGTTTCTCCCTAGTCTTCCTGTATACTTTACTGAGAGGCCAAGTAAATGGATAGCAGCTAGGAAAAGTTGGGATTGGAAAAGTGTTAAAAAAAATAACCAGCTCCTTTATCATCATTTACTATCACTTCTTCTGTCACATGGAATCTAAATAAAACCTACACTCACCATAATGGGATTCTCCTTGGCTGAATATCTGACAACTGTAAAAGTTAAAACATGAAGGGGTTGGTAATGGAGGTGACTGCTCTCTGGCTCCGTTGTCTGGAGTCTGAATTTCCCAGTTCTCCAGCAC